GTCCTGCACAGGTGAGGGGGTCCCCAGGGTGGAGGGGGGGGGGTTCCGCTGTGGGCAGGGAAAGGGTCTCGGCCTTCCCGGTGGTTGTTTGGGGGCTCCCTGGGGATGCAGAGGGCAGGGCAACGCTCTGTGGTCACATCCTGGCAGAGAGCCCCTCTCCCTGGCTGTGCTTTGGGGGAGGGACCTTCCCCTGGGGCTGTGGGAGGGGGTGGGACCCGTCCTGCCTGGGGGATCCCCTGTTGGAGGGTGTTTAGGGAGGGAGGGATCCCGGCTGTGTGTGAGGGGGTGACGTTCTGGCCTGGGGGATCCCCTGCTTGAGGGTGTTTAGGGAGGGAGATCCTTGCGTTGTGGGGTCACGTCCTGCCTGGGCTGAGCTGAGAGGGGCAGGGAAGGAGGAGGAGCAGGAGGAGAAATCCTGTGAGCATGATCCTGCTGCAGGGGTGGGGTGAGGGGGTCACATCCTGCTGGGGAACAGGAGAACCCCCTGCTTGAGGTGTGCTGCTGGAGGGGGCTTCACAGCTGTGGGGTGTTCACAACCTGCCTGGAGGTCTGACATCCCAGGGGTGGTGCTGGGGATGGGGTCCCAAGCCAGAAGAGAATGTGGGAGGGAGGTCTGAGCTTGGGGACCAAGAGGAGCAGAAGAAGGGGAAGTGTTGGGCCCTGGGGTTGGGTTCCTGAACCACCCTGCGCAGGGGAGGTGCAGGGTACAAGGTGCTGGTACAAATCCACTGATCAGTCTCAGGGTGTGTGGCAAAAAACTTGGCTCCGAGGGGGGACCAGTGTCCCCAGGCCAGGCAGAGGAGTTGCTGGTGCTGCAGAGGCAGAGCTCAGCAGGCAGTTTTCCAGGGCAATTTTCCAGGGCATGGGAGGGGCATCCATATATCTCAGCGTCTGCTCTGAAGAAATCCCTGCACATGCACCTGCAAGTGCCCGGGGGAGCTGAGATGTGGGACATGGTGGAGGCTTCAATACAAGTGAGGAAAGACTTGGGAAGGACTTGGCCAGGGCTGGCTGTTAAGAAGATGCCTCCTGGGGAAGTCCTGGTTCTCCATCCAAAACCCACCAGCCCTGTGTGGTTAAACCATAAAGGGCAGTTATTTCTGTGAAAGCAAGTGTCCTCAACTTTGAGCATTGCAAGGCAAGCTGTGAAATCTCCAGAATAACTCTCCCCTGATGCAGATAACTGGCTGAAAAGTATTTCCAGAGTGAAACTGGTTATGATGCAGCATGTGTAAGATGGTCCTTTGGTCTTGTGTTCCAGCCCTCGGAGCCCTCCACCCAGTCTCTCCATGTCTGTAGCCAGCAAGGTGAGTCTGCTCTCCTCTCACTGCCTGTTTGGGCTACATTTGTGTTTATAGATTTTATTCTGAAGTTGTTTACTTATTTGGGAACATCTCTTGAGCTGCTCCAGAGTGAAAATTCATCCCTGTGGTATTTTTAGTTTATTATTTTAAGGGAAGAAGCAGATGTGATTGGGTACTTTTGCTCTCCCTCTGTAACCTCTGAATTCATTTGTCTTTTTAATGGAATTTGTGTCCCAGGGGATGAAGTTTCCTACATACAAAGTTCTTAGGCATTTTGTGAACATAAATGGCAGGATAGAGGCCACCAGTGTCCCAGCTGTGGACAAAGCTCCTGAGTTCACCCTGCACTATACGTTGCAGAATCCACACAGGATATTGTCACAGGAAGCAGCTTCGTCATTTTGCTGCTCCCAGACTGTCTGCCGTCCTGCCTGGGGGATCCCCTGTTGGAGGGTGTTTAGGGAGGGAGGGATCCCGGCTGTGTGTGAGGGGGTGACGTTCTGGCCTGGGGGATCCCCTGCTTGAGGGTGTTTAGGGAGGGAGATCCTTGCGTTGTGGGGTCACGTCCTGCCTGGGCTGAGCTGAGAGGGGCAGGGAAGGAGGAGGAGCAGGAGGAGAAATCCTGTGAGCATGATCCTGCTGCAGGGGTGGGGTGAGGGGGTCACATCCTGCTGGGGAACAGGAGAACCCCCTGCTTGAGGTGTGCTGCTGGAGGGGGCTTCACAGCTGTGGGGTGTTCACAACCTGCCTGGAGGTCTGACATCCCAGGGGTGGTGCTGGGGATGGGGTCCCAAGCCAGAAGAGAATGTGGGAGGGAGGTCTGAGCTTGGGGACCAAGAGGAGCAGAAGAAGGGGAAGTGTTGGGCCCTGGGGTTGGGTTCCTGAACCACCCTGCGCAGGGGAGGTGCAGGGTACAAGGTGCTGGTACAAATCCACTGATCAGTCTCAGGGTGTGTGGCAAAAAACTTGGCTCCGAGGGGGGACCAGTGTCCCCAGGCCAGGCAGAGGAGTTGCTGGTGCTGCAGAGGCAGAGCTCAGCAGGCAGTTTTCCAGGGCAATTTTCCAGGGCATGGGAGGGGCATCCATATATCTCAGCGTCTGCTCTGAAGAAATCCCTGCACATGCACCTGCAAGTGCCCGGGGGAGCTGAGATGTGGGACATGGTGGAGGCTTCAATACAAGTGAGGAAAGACTTGGGAAGGACTTGGCCAGGGCTGGCTGTTAAGAAGATGCCTCCTGGGGAAGTCCTGGTTCTCCATCCAAAACCCACCAGCCCTGTGTGGTTAAACCATAAAGGGCAGTTATTTCTGTGAAAGCAAGTGTCCTCAACTTTGAACATTGCAAGGCAAGCTGTGAAATCTCCAGAATAACTCTCCCCTGATGCAGATAACTGGCTGAAAAGTATTTCCAGAGTGAAACTGGTTATGATGCAGCATGTGTAAGATGGTCCTTTGGTCTTGTGTTCCAGCCCTCGGAGCCCTCCACCCAGTCTCTCCATGTCTGTAGCCAGCAAGGTGAGTCTGCTCTCCTCTCACTGCCTGTTTGGGCTACATTTGTGTTTATAGATTTTATTCTGAAGTTGTTTACTTATTTGGGAACATCTCTTGAGCTGCTCCAGAGTGAAAATTCATCCCTGTGGTATTTTTAGTTTATTATTTTAAGGGAAGAAGCAGATGTGATTGGGTACTTTTGCTCTCCCTCTGTAACCTCTGAATTCATTTGTCTTTTTAATGGAATTTGTGTCCCAGGGGATGAAGTTTCCTACATACAAAGTTCTTAGGCATTTTGTGAACATAAATGGCAGGATAGAGGCCACCAGTGTCCCAGCTGTGGACAAAGCTCCTGAGTTCACCCTGCACTATACGTTGCAGAATCCACACAGGATATTGTCACAGGAAGCAGCTTCGTCATTTTGCTGCTCCCAGACTGTCTGCTCTGACCCTCTCAGGAGGCTGGGGGAGAGGATTTTTTTTTGCTCCTTCTGTAAAATAGGTGATTCCTGCCTCTTCTGAAAACACAGAGCAAGGAGGGAGGTTTGTCACTATTATTCTGTTCTTGGTTTTATTGTTGTGTGGAAGTTCTTTTATGGTGTGGTTGGGTTTTGTTGTTGTTTGGGTTTTATTTTAATGATTTGAAAACTGCTGAGCAGTTCAGGGGCCATTCTGGGTCTGGAATAGTGGCCTTGTCAAAAACTGCCCAAAAGTCTTGTGCTTTTGCTGCTGTCCTTGTTATTCTGAGGGGGCTGAAAATCTGAAAGCCCACCATGCTCTGGAGGGACAGGCCATGTTACAACCTGCCATGTTTTATCTTCTGCTGAAGCCTAACCTTTCTGCTGGTGTCTGGAACAGCTTTTGTTCCCTTTCAGTAAGAACTGTTTGGAATTGTGGGCAGCTTGTTGTCCTTTTCATCTTGGCCAGCTTCCTCAAGTCTCACAGCAAACGGTGGTTTATGAGCTGGCATCATGTGGCCCGTGTGCATGGAGAGCTGGGTGGGTGCAGACAGGGCTGGGTCTCCTCCAGGGAGCAGCAAAGGTGCCTGCAACCTTGAGGGGTGTTGCTGGGACTACTTAGTACCAGTGTGTGGGTGGTTGTGGGTGTGCATCTCCTCTGAGGAGCTGGTGAGGGTTTATAGCCTGAAGGGTGTGGTGCAGCTCTGGTGTTGCTCCTGCTTTTGACGTGGTGGTTGGGGGAGAATTGTGAGTGTGGGGTTAATCAGAGTCATGGTTTCTGTTCTTTGGAAGGCTGAGCTAAACATCTAGTTTCAGAGTTTGGGCAGAATTGGGACATTTTTGCTCAAAACATATAGTGAGCTCTGTCCTGTGTGTGTGGGTGGCACAGGAAGGACCAGAGCATGGTTGTGGTGTGCAGAGGGGGTGGTTTGAGCCCTATGCTTGTCTCTTGTGGTCTCCACCACCTGAAATAGTCTTGCTGCTTTCTCACATCTGTCAGTGCAGTCTCTTGAATCTGAAGACACTGAAACTACCTGGAAGGCATTTTGCTTCACCCCTTGGAATTGTCTTTTCCTTTCCCTGAACTAAGAGCCAGTGGAGTGAAGGAGCAGGATTCTTGGCCTGATGAGTGGAGTGTGAGCAGCTCAGGAAATTTAACTTCCCACTTCAGAAGCTTGGGAGGTTCATTTATTAACCCTACAGAGCATTCAGCTCTGTGACAACTGGGGAAGAACTGTGCCCATCTAAACTGAGCTGTGGTGAGTGATGGTTTAACTGGAAACAAATGGTTTCCAAAGAGAGAACAAGAGGTGACTCCCCGAACATGCTGTCTGCTGTTACTTTGGTACTCTAAGGAGAGGCATTTGGAGCCCATCCATGATCCACTGGGAAAGACTGGCAGCTTAAAACAAAATTATAAGCTGGGGGCCTCTCATTCCAAAGTGGCTTTATGGAAAACAATTTTTTTATTAGCAAGAAGGAATTAAAGGGGAAAGTTGAGATGCCAGCGTTGAATGAAAAGCCAGATGCTGTGCAGCCTTCCGGAATTCCTGCT